ATCTGTAAAATAGAATAATTTGACAGCTACTTCACAGGATTGATGAGAAGATTAAATGAACACTCTTGGCACCAGCAGTCAGGAAATCAAAAGACAAATTGCATTAGGAAAACCTGCTCTCAGGGTGTCCAGAGTGTTGAAGAGCAAGGATGTCAGGCTAGAGACTAATTTCTGCCTGATCCAGGTCATGGTCTTTGCAATTACTTGCTATGCATCAGAGAGCTGGGCAGTGACCAAAAATGGCAAAAGAAGAAGTAATGCCTTTGAGCTGTGGTGCTGGAAAAGAGTATTACACATACCACGGACTGCCAAGAAAACAAACAGGTCTGTCCTGGAGAAAGTAAAACCAAGTATCTCCTTGGAGGCTAGGATTTTGAAGCTCTGTCTCACATATTTTGGGCATGTGTCCAGGAGGGACCAGTCCTTGGAGAAGGACATCATGCTTAGAAGGTTGGGGGTCAGTGCAGGAGATGAAGCCCCTGGATGAGGTGGATTGGCATAATGACTAGGGCAAGGGGAGGTAAGTGTGTTGAAGATAGTGAGATTGGCTCAGGATAGAGCAGGGTTCAGAGCTATCACTGTGAGTCACAGGCCGCTCAACAGCACATAACAATAAAAACAATTTACAAAGACATAAAACAAAGCAAAATTCAATATTTGCTATTACTGTTTGTGATAGGAGATAACAGTAAAGGAAGAAGTAGAAGTTTTATTCTAAAGGGCTTCCAGACATCTCCCAGGCCTTCACAAATCCTTAAACTCACTAAGATAGAAGTTAGGGGGTGGGAGCGGATGGGGACAGGGTTGCAAAAGATGCAATAAGGACTTGTTGAATAAGTGTAAGGATCCAAGGGGGGGAAGGATAGAAGCAGAGAGATGAGAATGTGCAGCGGGAGGAGGGATTAATCATGGAGCTGTACAATTTAATGGATGTGGGGAGGGAAAATGGAAGACTCTGTTCTGGGAAACAGTGTATTCGAATGATGTAAATAAACTAGTATAATAAAAAAAATTTAAAAAATATATTAAGGGACTTGAGACTTTAAACTCTGTCTTAACTGCTCAGTGAATCCCACACCTACCAGGCCCCCTCTCTAGCTGTGATACTCCAGGGCAGGCAGGCTCAGAGAGGGAGATGACTCGGGTTGTAGGCTCTCTGGCTCTATCCACTTCCTTTTTTTCCCCCAATTTTATTTTAATGAATTTTCAATTTTATTTTAATTTTAATGAACATTTACAGAGATTTTGGATTTCCATTCATTCATTCTTGCACTTTTCTCCCTGCCCACCCCTCCCCCACAGTTCGCTCCTCTCTTTGAAAAGTAAAAGTAAAATTCCTGGGGAGCTCTGGTGGCCTAGTGGCAAGGAGCTGCAACTACAATCCCAGAGATGCACAGTTCGAGTCCACCAGATGCTCTGCTGGGGAAGGAGGGACAATCTCCTCCTGTACCTGTCAGATCTGATTTGATGGTAAAGCACACAAAATAATAAAATTTTTAAAAAAAAAGTAAAATTCCTGCATTGGTCTGCAATGCCCTTGCCCCACCCCACCGCCCCTATGCAACTCCACTATGCAACCTTCATTCTGGACTCTTGTGATAACCATAATACCCTATCAGATATTGCTTTTAAACTGTTCCCTCCCTCATCTGTTCCACTTCCTTTTTTAGGACATTTTCTCATTGGTTATATATAAAAAGAAACGAAACAGTAAATCGACTAACGTTTCCTCCTGTTACCAATGGTGCTCTGTGCCCAGGGTCACTGTGAGTTAACATGAAGTAGCTGATGTCAGTCCTGCCAGGGAGCCAGGCCCACACCCATCTATCCTTTGAGAGTGCGGCTCCTTCAGGCACTGTAATCTTAGCTTCATTCAGGTTCACCGCATCTTACTGAAGGCTGATTAGCAGGCTCTAGGTCTCACTGAGACTTAATCTTCCTCACTTCCTGTCAGGACTTGCAGCTCTCCTGCTGCCCAGTGAGTACTCCATAAACCAGTTGTCTTTGAATCATTTCCAATTCATACGGTGATGCTGCGTGCATCAGAGCGGAACTGTACACTCCAGGGGATTGAACGGCAGATTTTTCAGAAGTAGATTTGGCTTTCTTCTACGGCTTCCCTGGATAAACTCGAACCTTTAGACTTTCTGTTATCAACACAACACATTAATCAGTTGCACTACCCCAGAAACCTAAAGACATCACAAATGATATCTAGCTCACAGGCTGCCAAAAGAATGAAAAAATATGTCTTAGAGAGAGTGCAGCCAGAATAGTGTGTGTGTGTGTGTGTGTGTGTGTGTGCGCGCGCGCGCGCGCGTGCTCGTGCCCAAGTTTATTGAAAATATTACAGCAGAGCAGACAGACTCAAACAGCTCCACGTGGTGTTTTGAAATTCATCCCAACTATGGGCTGAGTGACTTGCAGGTTGGACAGACTGCCGAACTCCAAGAGCTTCAGCATTTGCTTAGGATCAGGGTCTGCTTCAATGATCTCCTGATCCAGGGCTGAAACTTCTGGTGCATAATTCTCTCTCCTCCTACTGCAGCTTAATGGAGATGCCTCTCATAGGCCCTCTCCGAACCCGCTTCATCAGATGTGTAACATAGCTTGCCATCTTGTTCCAGAGCCAGGATGCTTGATGGTGCAGGATGGTGAAACTTTGTCTCACAAAACTGTGGACATGTTGTTAGAAGGGGCTAGTCCTTGGGAAAAGGCAAAGGTCAGCGAAGGAGAAGACCCTCAATGAGCTAAATTGACACAGTGACTGCAGCAATGGGCTCAAGTATGGCAGAGGTGATGAGGAAGACACTTGCCCTGATGTAATGAAATCTGCCCTACCCAGTTCGTAGGGTTGCTAAGAGTCATACTTGACTCAACGGCACCTAACAATTGCAACAGCCACTGAGTCAATCCCAAATTATAGCAAGCCTTTGGGGCAAAGTAGAACTGTCCCATTGGGTTTTTCAGGCTATAAATACAGAGCTAGTGTCCATAGAGGTTCACTGCCTTGTTTTTCTCCCACAGAGCTGTGGGCAAGTTTGAACCACTAACCTTTTGGTTAACAACCGAATGCTTGAACCTCTATGCCACCATGACTCCTAAAGATTCATGCATAACCTTCACAAAAGTTCATTACATCAGGGCAAGTGTCTTTGGATGCTGTTTTCTCAGCCCTGCAACTAGACGGGGACTCAAGGGGGAAAGGCAGGAGGGGATACAGGGAAAGAAGTCCATCTTGCAGTACTGGTTAAGATGTTGCTGCACCAAGTGATTTCCTCCCAGGTTTCCTTCCAAGGGAGGATGTGGACTGTTCATTTCTCTCATAATTTTAGCTCATCTAAGTAGAATGAATTGTACACTTAAAACAAGTGAGTTATGTGCTATGTAAATTATACTTAACTGGATTACCTTCCTGTCGCCAGTTTTGAAGGCTCTGTGATTCAAGAAATTGGCTCAGGCATCCACAAAGATGAGTTACGGTTCCATAGTGCCAAGTGATCATTCCTCCTCTATCTCCTATAATTTCTAAGTAAAAGGAGAATGAGCTAGAATGAAAGACTGAAAGGAGAGATCCAGAAAGATGTCTACCAAGGTATTAATAGCTATTCTGTTTAGAAAGCAGACTTTCTGGCAATTTTTCAGTTCCTGTTTATCTTTTTCTGTATTGTCTATGTTATTTTTCAGGAAATATAGTAAAGCTATTTTTATTTTGGGAATGTTCCTCTGCATGGTTCATAGAATTTTCCAAGGCTAGATTATTTTAGAAGTGGATGCCCAGTCTTAGTCTTTTTCTTAGTCTGCCTCAATCTGGAAGTTCTTTTGGTACCTGTTCACATGGGTGACCCACTGGTGTTAAAATGCCAGTGACATAGCTTCCAACATCACAGCAGCCAGCAAGCTACACAGTACAGTAACCTGACAGACAAGTACTATACTCATAAGTGCAAACTATGAACAATGAGCATAAACATACACAAATTAAAAAGCAGTAACACATCTCATCCCTTCCCACCCTGTAAGACCCCTCCCCCTCCAATATAGCAAACTGGCAGATAAATGCTATACCCCTATGTGTTGTTGTTGGAGGGTCAGCAAAAGAGAGGAAGATCTTCAATGAGATGGAGTGATACATTGTTTATGGCAATGGGCTCAAGTGTGTCAAGGATGATAAGAAAGGCACAAGATAGGACATAGATCAGATCCATTGTTTATAGGATCCTTATGACTCATGCTCAACTTGATGCCACTCACCACCAACAACAACATTTGAGGAAAGAAGAGACTTGCCAAGAGTTTTCTTTAAGATGCAATAAACTGAGAGCCTACTTCTGATTATCTGACAAGCTGACCTTTGTTTAATGGCAAATTATTTTTTTTTAAGTATCTTCTGTCTAAAAGAACACTAATCTTATCTTGAATTGGTATCATTCTGAGATAGAAACAGATAGATATCCTAGGAACACATTATCAAGAGCTTCCATTCATGGTTATTTGAAGTTAAATTTCTGAAATTTGAACCATGTTGTCACTTTGATTTTTTATGTAAACTAGAGAATAAATATATCAGGAAAAAATACCCTCAAGATACAATAAAATTGTTCAAGAAAGCAGCAAGTATCTAAATGTACTCATTCCAAAAGAGAAAAATCCTTTTCCCTATAGCATTTGAAATATTTATTTAGCATATGGAATTTTCTGTTTCCCACAATAATTTAAAATTTTAAAATTAGTATTACGACATCACAAACTCATCCAGTAAATAAACTGAAAATATTGCTATTTCTCTCAACTTCTTGCTGAGCTATTTCCATCCAACTTCTGCCCAAGTTTCTACTTGAAAATAAAATGGTGATGAAATCAAAGAAAGCAGTGCCGGTCCCTCTCAAAACTGAAATCGAAGCAAAGACATAAAAGGCTAAGGCAGTCCTGAAGGGCATCCACTAACACAAAGTAAAAAACAAAAAAGGATATTTGCACATCACCCACTTTGGCCTAACATGCTGAGACTCTGCAGACAGGTCAACTACCTTGGAAGAAACAAGCTTGACTGCTATGCCATCATCATGTACTCCCTGATCACAGAGTCAGCCATGAAGAAGATAGATGTAAACAGCGCCTTTGTGTTCACTGTGGATGTCAAGGCCAACAGGCAGCAGATTAAACAAGCCATGAAGAAGCTCTCTGGCCTTGAGGTGGCCAAAATCAACACCTTGATCAGACATGAAAGACAGAAGACATATGTTCAACTTGTTCCTGACTGTGATGCTTTGGATGTTGCCAACAAATTGAGATTCTAGGAATTTGATGGCCTAGTGGAAAGAATTTGCACTGCAATCCCAAAGGCATGTAGTTCGAATCCACCAATTGCTCTGCAGGAGCAGGACGAGCAGTCTCCTCCGGTGAGATGTGCTGCCTCTGACAATCTGCTTGAGGGTCAGCTATGGTTGGTTCCAACTCAATGGCATGCAGCAACGAATTGAGTCTAGCTGGCTAATTCTAAATACAAATTGGTTTTCAACAGCAACCACCAAAAAAATGAAATGTTACTCTTTGGTCTCCTCTGTTAGTTGGTTCTGTATGGAAACTGTTAAATTTATACAGAAGAGCTCTGGTGGCTTAGTGGTCAACAACAACAACTACAAACTGAGTCCACCTGGCTAATCTTAAATACAAATTGTTTTTAAGAACCAAACAAATGAAATGTTACTCTTCGGTTTCCTATTCTGTTAACTGGTGCTCTAGGGAAGCTGTTAATTTTATACAGAGGAGCTCTGGTGGCTTAGCGTTAAGGAATTGCACTGCCAACCCAAAGGTACACAGTTTGAATCCACCAGCTGCTCTACGGGGAAAAAAGATAGGCAAACTCCTCCTGTGTGATTTATTGCCTTTGGAAACCTGCTGAAAGGTCAGCTATGATTCAGTTCTGACTCAATGGCAAACAAAAACAAGAAGAACAAGTTATATTTGCAAATATTGGTTGGAAGTTTTCCTTTGTAGTTACTTTTGAAATAGAAAACTCTATATTCTAGGAATTTGCTTTCTAAGTACTTCCAAAGAATTATACGATTGAAGGGAGTAAAATTAAAAAGATAAAATAAGGGAGCTCTGGTGGCCTAGTGACAAGAAGCTGCACTGCAATCCCAGAGGTATGCAGTTCGAATCCACCAGATGCTCTGCTGGAGAAGGGGGAGCAATCTCCTCCTGTACCAGTCAGATCCAATCTGATGGTACACACACACACAAAAATAATAAGATTTTTTTTTAAATGACAAAATACACATAAATAAAAACATACCATAAAACGAAAAGTTTTTTTAAAAGCCAACTTCCACATGTGTACTTCAACGTAGACAAATTTCACGTTTGGTTAATGTTTGTTGAGTCCACTCTTGGATTTGTAAATGTGGCAGCAGAGTAAATGTTTGGCATCGTTTACAGCTAGTATTCTTCCATAAGCGTGCTATCCAGGAGCTTGTAGGAATCTCAGGTATTTCTTTTCAAGCAACCAATAAACTTGCCCACTGACTTGAACTGAATGTATTCTGACAGGTCTATAAAATTTAAGACTCTGCCTTCGCTTCATTCCTATCCTATAAATCTTCTTTGCAGGAGAATGGAATTCCAAACCACATGGATTCCTGAACCACTAAACCCTCCAGTTCCCACAATGGATCTGTTGGCTGAGTCACGCGGTGTATAGCAGATGTGGGAGACTTCTAAAACGACCGCAGGTCCAGTAGGAGAGAGCCTGGAGAACGAGGTGAAAGGAATGATTCTGTCTGGTCCCCTGAGAGTTAAGTGAGGTGGGGAGGGGGGAGCAAATCACTTCTCAAAATAGTCTCCCATTTCTAAGAAATAAGCTCCTCTAATTCAGCACATTTCATAGCTGATAAGGATCAAGCTGCCTGAAAATGACCACCAGAGCGTGAACTGGAAAAAATCTCAAACAAAACAGGGAAGAAAGTGTCCCCGCATTATTCCTGGCAATTAAAACTGGCTTTACAGAAAATGAGAAGATCTAAGAGAAGTAAATGGAGACCATTCTCAAAGAAGAGAGGGAAACAAAACAAAGAAAAATGACATTTTGTGAACAAACTCGGGCAGTGATTGATGGGAGAAAGAACAATTGACTTCAATTACAGCAGGGCCTTGTGGGGGACTCAAGGGGGATTTTCTGACCAATAGAAGTCAGCAGAGTGGAGACAGTGGGTCTGCTCTTGGCTGCGACGTGTATTCTCTTTCTGCACCATCACTTCGTTCAGTAACTTAGCATGCCTGATGGAAGCAGTTCAAGTCATATGCCCCTAAATCTCAGAATATTAGAAGGTAATCAGAAGAATCTAGATTTTTTTTTATTTCCTGAGGTAAAACTTTGCCAGCACAGTACTGTCCACTTTTGTACACAACACTTTTCTTTGAGCTTTCTAACTCATGGTGACTGTGTGTGAATAAAAGCAATGTTCCATAGGATTTTCAGCGACAGAAAGTGACAAAAAAATGCCAAGCCTTTTTTCCAAATTGTCTCTAGGAAACTCAAACAGCCACCCCTTCGCTGATCCGCCAGCACACTATTGGCTTATCCTGCTCCCCAGAAGAGCCCTGGTGGCAAAATGGGCAAACGTCTGGCTGCTCACCGAAAGGCCGTTTCAAACCCTCCAGCTTCCCCATGAGAAGAAGAGAGAGCAGTCTATTCCAACAAAGATTAACACCTTAGAACTCACACAGAGCAGATTCCACTGTGCCCTGAAGGGTTGCTGCAGGTCACAATGGACTCAATAGCAGCGGATTAGGCTTTGCAATCACTTGCTATGCATCGAAGAGTTGGACAATGACTAGGGATGATAGAAGGAGAACTGATGCCTTTGAGCTGTGGTGCTGGAGAAGAGTGTTGAATATACCATGGGCTGCTAGGAGAACAAACAGGTTTGTCCTGGAGAGGGTGAAGCTGGGCTGCTCCTTGGAGGAGCTCTGTCTGACCTATTTTGGACATGTTGCAAGGAGGCACCAGTCCTTAGAGAGGGATGTCATGCTTGGGAGGGTGGAGGGACAGCAAAGGAGAGGAAGACCCTCGATGAGATGGATTGATTCAGTGACTGGGGTAATGGGGACAGGTGTGTCCCTGGAGATGGTGAGATTGGCACAGGATAAAGCAGGGTTTAGGGCTGTTGTAAAGGGTCGCTATGAGTCGCAGGCAACTCGACGACACATAACAACAACAACTGCATATGCCAGAGATGATGAGGATGGCACAGGATAGGAGAGGGATCAGATCTGTTGTTCATAGCATTGCAATGAGTTGTACTCAACTCAATGGCACAAAACAACTCCATGCACACGCGTGAGCACACACATATGTGCACATACATACACTCTGAGAGAAAGAAATATACATAGTTTATTCCATTTAATATGAGTCCTTGAAAAAAATCAATTGTACTAAGTATGCACTGCACTAAACCAGCCATTGGGGAACTTAATGTGACATATTTTAAATCCTTGGTGAAAAAAAATGCATGATAAAACTAACAGGTAATAGAGTAGAGGATCAAGCACTGGTTTGTTCATTGTAATGGAATGAGGTTCAGCTAGCCTAGCTACAAAAACTGACCGAGAGAGTAGCTTTTTAAGGAGATTGGGTTTAACCAGCAGACTAGATTGCAAGCAGGAGTGGCATCCACTTCCTAAACAACATGCTTCTGGAAACTCTATGAATTGTGAGAAATGATAGTTATAGAAAGGCTTCAGGTCTTCTGTTCATAGGGTCGCTGTGAGTCATGCTCGACTCGACAGCAATCATCATCAACAACAACAGCAGTTTAGGAGACAGAATAAATTAAATTTCATGTAAATCTGAATAATGACTAGCTCTGTGCTGGTTAAGAAGGACACAGGAGTGAAGAATCCATGAGATTTTCAACAGTGAAGATCTGTCCACTGCAACAGAACTATGAGAAGAGATTGACATGAGAGAAGAGGCCCATTAGGTATTATTGTGATGACAGAAGTCCAGAAGGAAGGCTGCATAGTGGAGTGCACTTGAGGGTAGAAATGGTATAACAATGAAAGAAGAATTTTTCTTTAACTTTTCAAAGAGCAAACTGGGGGCGGCGGTGGTGGGGAGGTTGGGCAGGGAGAAAAGTGCAACAATAAATGAATGGAAATCCAAAGTCTCTGTAAACTTTCATTAAAATTAATTTTAAAAATATTTTAAAAAGAAGGGCCCATCTAGAAGAGAAGACACAAGGATAGGGGTCCCAGTCAGAAGAGAGGACTCAGGGCGTATGTAGAAAAGCATCCTCCTAGTGGCCTAGTGGTAAGAAACTGCACTGCAATTCCAAAGGCACACAGTTCAAATCTACCAGCTGCTCCACAGGATGGGCAGTCTCCTCCTGTGCAATTAACCACCTCTGAAAACCCTCTGGAGGACCCGCTGTGGATCGGTTCCCACCGACAGTATACAACAAAGCAAATACAGAACAGGTTACTTACTGCAAAGAAAGGGACAACAGCCAAAAACCCAAACTTGCAGAGTGGGCTGTAACACAAGGAGAAAAGAGAGGCAAGTCTGTAGGGAAAGAACTGCTGCCCCTTAGTGGCCACTAGACAGCCTAGACTTTGGTCCTGGAACACCAGAACCCTGAAGGGAGGGCACACAGGTGTTCATCTCCTGGAACCAGACCACCAACCGACTGCTGGTGCAGGAAACGCGAGCCACCCAGTCGCCAGGCCAAAGAAGTCATAAGGATGGGCCACCCTGTGGTCCTTGCCATCAAGTTATTCACAGTTAGAGACAGGGAGGCTGACACCACAAATCCCTGAAAGAGAAAGCATATTGTCCTACCATGGTACTTCATCCACTGTCCCATCACCTCCCACATAAACTCGCACGGAGCATCCTCCCCTAAACCAAGCCCCTGTTCCTGGAGAGGGCAGTGCACCCCCATTGCTTCAGGGAAAACAGCTCTTTGTGAGTCTTCCCCTCACTCCATACTCTCCCAGCAGTTACCAGCAACTTGGACCTGTTAGACGTTCAGTAGGAATGCTGTCATTTATTGCTGCAGCCCTGATCTCCACTCCTTTCAGTCAGTGCTCTCTGAAGCTTGGCAGGTAAAAAGAAGCTCATTTGCTGTAAAATCGGCTCTCTTTGCCTCTGTATACAGGGTGTGCGAGTGGCAGCTAAGACCTAAGGCAAACCTAACTGCACAAATCACTCTTCTGGCAGGTTTGGAATACTTTTCGTCTTTTCTTCCCCTACCTGTAGGTGCCTCAGGGCAAACATTTTCTGCTTAAAGACTCT